ATGTCTCAAGTTGGCAAATGCCAATCGAGCCTTTTGTATGCGCGCCGACACTGCATCTGTGATGCGTCCGCCAGGTGAGATATAGCTGCCTAGATAGCAAAATTTGTCTACTTCCTCTACTACTTCCCCAGTTAGGGTGAGACTGGGTGCTGGATCAACCCAATCTTGTAGTAGCATTTTACACTTTGAAGGTGCAAAATGCATCCCGAACATGGCTTCAGTGGCATTCAAGTTATCCAGAAAAGCTTGTAACTTACCTGGGTCTTCAATTGGTAGCATAATGTCGTTTGCATACTCTCGATCAGATAATCTGCCACCCGGAAGTAAATCGATACCGCTATCCCTGCACGAGGATAGAGCTGTTTCAAGAATTAAATCTATGACAAAGTGAAGTAGAAATGGAGAGTGAAGTCAGACCTATCGAACACCACTTTCCGTGGTTAACTCAGATGAAAAACCGCTGTAAGCTCAAAATCGACTTCGGCTATTATTGTAGAGGGATTGTAATATTGACATAAACTTCTCGGGCACTCCCTTCAGGGAAAGGCAGCGTCAGAGTTTAGAGCGGTCGACTGAGTCGAAAGCCGCTTTTAGATCGAGGAAAATAAAAATGGTGGGTCTACGAAAGGAGTGTCTATGTTCTAGAATTTGACGGAGTGTGAAGATGTGGTCAATGCAGCCTCGACCAGGTCTGAAACCGGCCGGGTTCTCACGCGTGCACCGTTCACGTGCGGCAGACAGTCGACGGAGTATGATACCGGCGAGAAGTTTAGAGGCAATATTGATTAAACTGATGCCTCTGATTTTCACAGGAAGATCTATCACTTTTCTGTTAAATCGGTATGATCACCGATTCATACCATTCAGTTGGAACCCCTTCCTTCTCCCACACTGAGCGCAGGAGCTTTGTCAACTCCAAAACTAAGGCTGAGCCTGCATTCTCAAAAACGGATGGGGTCAGCCCATCGGGGCCGGAAGCCTTGTGCCGTTTGAGGTGACTTGTTTCCCGGGTAACCTCCATTTCAGATGGAGGACCGATGTCAACCGGCAGTATTTGCACAGTTGGATCGAATGGGGGGAAGTCTTCTGTCGATGGGGACCAGCTAAACGGTGCCTTAAAATGTTCTGCCCAACGTTCCTGAATTTGAATCAGTGTGCCGTCAGACTCCTTAATTCCCNTTAATTCCCTTACTTACGCCTGCTTCCCTTGATCCTGTCCTCCTAATAAAACGAAAAGGATTGCGACTATTACCAATAGCCGCAGCCTTCTCCATCTCTCTACACTTCCCTGTACATCACTTCTCGCGGTCATTCCTCAGACTCTTGATGAGCTGGCGTTTAAGGGATTTGCGCGCTTTGTCGTATCTTGAATCCGATGGATTGGCTTTGCGAGCGTCCATCAGGGCAACCGAGGTTGAGGAGATCCATCGTTTTTGCTTTGATCATGCGCCAGAATTTGCCGTTGTTTTGATTGAAATTTGGATCGCTTCCTTGATTGCCGTCCAGTGTTCACTGATTCCTCCGGCTGATGGTTGAGTTGAGAGGCGATCTGATAGTTCCGCTTCGAAGGCCCATTTGCAAATGTCGGTGATAGTGTATTGTGGGTATCCGTTTTCGGCGGCTTTCCTGCGGTTGTTTATCAGGCGTAGGGAGAATCTCGCTCGTAGCGGAGCATGATCTGTGTCTACGGGTGTTGACCAGTAGGAGCGGTAGTCTTCAGTGGATCCTCTCCAGCCGTGGCTGATGGCGATGTGGTCGATTTGAGTCCAGCGCTGTTAAGAAGTTGGTGGTTTCCATGTAAGGCGGTGCCGTTTTTTGTGCGAGAAGTTCGTGCCTGACAGAAACAGTCCGTGGTCAGTACAAAGTTGGAGTAGGCGTTCTCCATTGTCAGTCCTGTTGATTGGAATTGCATGAGAACCTCCAAGTAACCTCTCTGATTCGTCCAGGGATCCCACTTGAGCGTTGAGGTCTCCAGCGACTATCACAATGTCCACTGACCGTGCTCTTTCCAGCAGTAGCGAGAGGTCCTTGTAGAATTCATCCTTCATTTCTGGTGAACTGCAATCTGTCGGTGCATACGCGGATACGACGATTAAGGATCGACGCTTCGTTCAGTAGCTGTTGACGCATACTGAACTATCCAGACGCACGGCACCAAGTCGGCTGTTAACCGGGATCCATTCGAGACGTGAACGCTCGGCCTGGACACAGCGCAATCCCAACGCCAGCAGAACCGCTCCTACGTCCATCTAGCGGGGGTTTTGACCGGTAAACTGCCCCTCACCGTGTTTATTTACTGGAGTGACCTCTCCAGGGGCGGGTGTGGATCGAAGAAAGAAGCCCGGGGGTGCCCAAGCAGCTGGCTTTGTGAGACTGAGCTTCGTTTGGCCTCTACCCGTTGACCTTTCAGGCATGATTGGATCTACGGCTGTGAAAAGCCATCCTGTGTAGCTAGCAGGGTCATGGAGGCACGCAAGCCAAGGTGCAATCTCGTCGTGATGATTTGTGCGGAGATAGCTTTAGCGATTGACTCACCACTAACTTGATTTAGTCTACTTAGACACTGCTGTTAATCACGACTACACGAAACCAGTCATAACAATGGACGCACGAAAAACATCAACTACAAAGCCGTACGCGTACAATGTAACCAGTTTTCCTCGTGACTGCGAGCTTCACTCA